CTGGTTCCAGCTCAGGAATTTGGGTGTAATTGTGATTTCCCTGGTTCCAAAGGAGGAATTTGGGTGTAATTGTGATTTTCCCTGGTTCCAAAGGAGGAATTTGGGTGTAATTGTGATTTCCCTGGTTCCAGCTCAGGAATTTGGGTGTAATTGTGATTTCCCTGGTTCCAAAGGAGGAATTTGGGGGTAATTGTGATTTCCCTGGTTCCAGCTCAGGAATTTGGGTGTAATTGTGATTTCCCTGGTTCCAGCTCAGGAATTTGGGTGTAATTGTGATTTCCCTGGTTCCAAAGGAGGAATTTGGGTGTAATTGTGATTTCCCTGGTTCCAGCTCAGGAATTTGGGGGTAATAACTGTGCTTTTCCCTCTCCAGCTGTTGATCACAGTCGCTTTCAGCCAGCCTGTCAAGCTGTACTCCATGAAACTCCAGGGACCAGACAATGGTGAGTGCTGCTCTCCATTATTTTATTATTAATATTATTATTATCACAGAATTATTCTGTGCTGAACCCCCAAAATCTGGGGTTGACACACAAATTGTACTTAGATACAGAAATAAGGAATTTATTTTACACACAAATAATATTTATTGGCAATTATTATATAATTTATACATCTGTGTGTTTAGCTCAATGCACAAATAAATTATTTATTGTAGATTGATACACAAAGCGATATAGATTGATTCACAAATCAAAGTATTTATTGTAGATTGATACAGGAACAAATTATTAATTGATACACTAATTAAAGTATTTATTATAGATTGATACACAAATCAAAGTATTTATTATAGATTGATACACAAACAAAATATTAATTGATACACTAATTATTTATTATAGATTGATACAGAAACAAAATATCATTAATTGATACACAAATAAAAGTATTAATTAGTGATTGATACAGGAACAAAATATTAATTGATACACAAATTAAAGTATTTATTATAGGTTGATACACAAATAAAAGCATTTATTGTAGATTGATACACAAATATATTGATACACAAATCAAAGTATTTATTATAGATTGATACAGGAACGAAATTTTATTAATTGATGCACAAATAAAAGTGTTAATTAGAGATTGATACAGAAACAAAATATTAATTGATACACTAATTAAAGTATTTATTATAGATTGATACACAAATCAAAGTATTTATTATAGATTGATACACAAACAAAATATTAATTGATACACTAATTAAAGTATTTATTATAGATTGATACACAAATCAAAGTATTTATTATAGATTGATACAGAAACAAAATATCATTAATTGATACACAAATAAAAGTATTAATTAGTGATTGATACAGGAACAAAATATTAATTGATACACAAATTAAAGTATTTATTATAGGTTGATACACAAATAAAAGCATTTATTGTAGATTGATACACAAATATATTGATACACAAATCAGAGTATTTATTATAGATTGATACAGAAACAGAATATTAATTGATACACGAATTAAAGTATTTATTATAGATTGGTACAGGAACAAAATATCATTAATTGATACACAAATAAAAGCATTAATTAGAGATTGATACACAAATAAAAATATTAATTGATACACAAATTAAAGTATTTATTACAGATTGATACAGAAAGTATTTATTATAGATTGATACACAAACAAAATATTAATTGATACACAAATTAAAGTATTTATTATAGCTTGATACACAAATCAAAGTATTTATTATAGATTGATACAGAAACAAAATATCATTAATTGATACACAAATAAAAATATTAATTGATACACTAATTAAAGTATTTATTATAGATTGATACACAAATCAAAGTATTTATTATAGATTGATACAGAAACAAATTATTAATTGATACACAAATCAAAGTATTTATTGTAGATTGATACACAAAGTGATATAGATTGATACATAAATAAAAGTATTTATTATAGATTGATACACAAATAAAAATATTTACTATAGATTAATGCACTAAATATTTATTATAGATTGATACACAAATCAAAGCATTTATTATAGATTGATACAAAAATAAAATATTATTAATTGATACACAAATGAAAGCATTAATTAGAGATTGATACACAAATAAAAATATTAATTGATGCACAAATTAAAGTATTTATTACAGATTGATACACAAATAAAAGCATTTATTGTAGATTGATACACAAATATATTGATACACAAATCAAAGTATTTATTATAGATTGATACAGAAACAAAATATTAATTGATACACAAATTAAAGTATTTATTATAGCTTGATACACAAATCAAAGTATTTATTATAGATTGATACAGAAACAAAATATCATTAATTGATACACAAATAAAAATATTGATACACAAATTAAAGTATTTATTATGGATTGATACACAAATCAAAGTATTTATTATAGATTGATACACAAACAAAATATTAATTGATACACAAATTAAAGTATTTATTATAGATTGATACACTAATCAAAGTATTTATTATAGATTGATACAGAAATAAAATATTAATTGATACACAAATCAAAGTATTTATTATAGATTGATACAAAAATAAAATATTATTAATTGATACACAAATCAAAGTATTTATTGTAGATCGATACAGAAATAAAATATTATTAATTTATATACAAATCAAAGTATTTATTATAGATTGATACAGAAACAAATTATTAATTGATACACAAATCAAAGCATTTATTATTGATTGATACAGAAACAAAATATTATTAATTTATACACAAATCAAAGTATTTATTATAGATTGATTCACAAAGTAATATAGATTGATACATTAATAAAAGCATTTATTGTAGATTGATACAGAAACAAATTATTGATATACAAATAAAAGTATTTATTGTAGATTGATATACAGTAATATATTGATACACAAATTAAAGTATTTATTATAGATACAAAAACAAATTATTAGTTGATACACAAGTCAAAGTATTTATTGTAGATTGATACAGAAACAAATTATTAATTGATACACAAATCAAAGTATTTATTGTAGATTGATACAGAAACAAATTATTAATTGATACACAAATCAAAGTATTTATTGTAGATTGATACACAGTAATATATTGATACACAAATTAAAGTATTTATTATAGATACAGAAACAAATTATTAATTCATACACTAATTAAAGTATTTATTGTAGATTGATACAGAAACAAATTATTAATTGATATGCAAATTAAAGTATTATAGATTGATACACAAAGTAATATATTGATACACAAATCAAAGTATTTATTGTAGATTGATACAAAAATAAAATATTATTAATTGATACACAAATCAAAGCATTTATTATAGATTGATACAGAAACAAATTATTAATTGATACACAAATCAAAGCATTTATTATAGATTGATACAAAAACCAATTATTAATTGATACACAAATCAAAGCATTTATTATAGATTGATACAAAAACCAATTATTAATTGATACACAAATCAAAGCATTTATTATAGCTCGATACACAAATGTATTTATTATAGATTAATACACAAAACATTTATCATAGATTAATGCACAAATAAAATATTGCAGACTGATACACAAGTGGAAGTATTTATTATAGCTTGATATGCAAATAAAATCATTAATTATAGCTTGATATAAAATTTATTGTAGTTCGATACATTAAATATTAATTATAGCTTGATACACAAATGTTTATTATAGATTGATACACAGAGAGAAATATTTAATTTCACACAGAAATAAAAATATTGAAAAGAAAGTATTTATTATAGATTGATACACAAAACTATTCAAGTTTGATACACTTCATTAGAGATAAATGTACAACTAAAAAATTAATTCCAGATTGATACACCAAATCTTCAATAATTGATACACAAATATTTAAAGTTTGATACACACAATTATTTATTGTAGTTTGGTACACAAAGCATTGATTACAGCTGGATGCAATAATAATGGAGCAGTAATAAAGAGAAATGTTTATTATAATTTGATACCCAAATTGAAGTGTTTGTTAGGGATTGACACACAACTAAACAAATGCAATTATTTATTGCAGTTTGCTACACAAACAGGAGCATTTCCAGATTGGTACAAAAATAGGAATATTTGTAGATTGGTGCACAAATAAAACATTTATAGATTGGTGCACAAATAAAACATTTATAGATTGTTGCACAAACAAAACATTTCTGGATTGTTACACAGATAAAACATTTATAGATTGTTGCACAAATAAAACATTTCTGGATTGTTACACAAATAAAACATTTATAGATTGATCCACAAACCATTTCTGGATTGATCCACAGAGAAAGCATTTCTAGAATGATCCACAAACCATTTCTAGACTGATTCACAAACCATTTCTGGATTGTTACACAAATAAAACATTTCTGGATTGTTACACAAATAAATAATTTCTAGATTGATCCACAAACCATTTCTGGATTGTTACACAAATAAACATTTCTGGATTGCTACACAAACCATTTCTGGGTTGTTACACAAACCATTTCTGGATTGTTCCCCAAACCATTTCTGGATCATTACACAAACCATTTCTGGGTTGTTACACAAATAAACATTTCTGGATTGTTACACAAACCATTTCTGGATTGATCCACAAACCATTTCTGGGTTGTTACACAAAGAAAACATTTCTAGAATGATCCACAAACCACTTTGGATTGTTACACAGATCAAACATTTCTGGGTTGATCCCCAAACCATTTCTGGACTGATCCACAAACCATTTCTGGATCATTACACAAACCATTTCTGGGTTGTTCCCCAAACCATTTCTGGGTTGTTACACAAATAAACATTTCTGGATTGATCCACAAATAAATAATTTCTAGATTGATCCACAACCCATTTCTGGATTGTTACACAGATAAACCATTTCTGGATTGTTCCCCACACCATTTCTGGGTTGTTCCCCAAACCATTTCTGGATTGTTACACAAATAAACCATTTCTGGACTGTTCCCCACACCATTTCTGGACTGATCCCCAAACCGTTTCTGGGTTGTTACACACACAAACACCTCCAGACTGTTCCCCAAACCGTTCCTGGGCTGTTACACACACACACAAACACCTCCAGACTGATCCCCAAACCATTTCTGGGTTGTTACACACACAAACACCTCCAGACTGATCCCCAAACCGTTTCTGGGCTGTTACACACACAAACACCTCCAGACTGATCCCCAAACCATTTCTGGGCTGTTCCTGCAGGCCAAGGCCCCAAGCTGATCAAGATCTTCATCAACCTGCCGCGCTCGATGGACTTTGAGGAGGCGGAGCGCAGCGAGCCCACGCAGGCGCTGCAGCTGGGCCCCGAGGACATCCGCGAGGACGGGATCATCCAGCTGCGCTACGTCAAGTTCCAGAACGTCAACAGCGTCACCGTGAGTGCCGGGACAGCCCGGGACAGACTGGGATAACCTGGGACAGACTGGGACAGCACCTGGGACAGACTGGGAGAGACAGGGACAGCATGGGACAGCTCCTGGGACAGACAGGGACAGTCAAAGGACATTCTGGGACATCCTGGGACAGTCTGGGACAGCCTGGGCTGGTCAGGAGAGCTCTCCATCACCAGACACGGGGACACAAACCCCGTGAGGAACAGCTGGAGGAGCTGGGGGTGTTCATCCTGGAGGAAGGGACACTGACAGGTGACCTCACAGCTCCTCAAAGGAGGTTTTGCTCAGGTGGAGGTCACTCTCCATCACCAGGCAGCACGGACAGGAGAGGACACAGCCTGGAGCTGCAGCAGGAGAAGTGGAGGTTGGAAGTCAGGCAGGAGCTCTTCATGGGAAGGGTGATAA